TTTTTGAGGCAGAGTCTCACTTTGTTGCCCTTGGCAGAATGCCATGGTGTCATAGCTTACAGCAACCTCAAACTCTTGAGCTCAAAAGATTCTCTTATCTCAGCCTCCCAAGTAGCTGGGACTACAGGCGACTGCCACAAATGCCTGGCTATTTTTAGAGATGAGATCTAGCTCTGACTCAGGCTGGTCTCGAATTTGTGAGCTCACCATCGCCTCCTAGAGTGGTTTTTTTTTTTTTTTTTTTTTTTTTTTGAGACAGAGTCTTACTTTGTCCCCCTGGATAGAGTACTGTGGTGTCATAGCTCACAGCAACCTCAAATTCTCGGGGTTGCTGTAATCCTCTTGCCTCAGCCTCCCAAGTAGCTGGGACTACAGGCGCCCACCACAACACCCAGCTAGTTTTTCTATTAGTAGAGATGGGTTCTCTACTAGTGAGACTCCATTAGTGAGACTCCACCTCTACTAATGGAGACCAGTCTTAGGCTGGTCTCTGACTTCTGAGCTCAAGCAATCCACCCACCTCACCCTCCCAGAGTGCTAGGATTACAGGTGTCAGCCACCATGCCTAGCCTCTCAGAATTTCTCTTTTCCCCGCTCCTCTTCATATTCCCTTTATTTCTTTCTCTTCCTTCTTCATTTGCTACCTGGCACCTATGACATGGAGCCGTAAGGTAGTAGAGCTAGAAGGGGTCAGCTGGCCACAAGCATTCCACAGGTAGGGAGATTGAGCCCCAGGTCTCCCAGTTGGCTGCCATGAGACTCATGAGTGGACTTGCCCCGACACTGGCCTTGGCTTGACTCAACCTGAGGGTCCCTTAAGCTTGTGGTATGTCAGAGTACAGCCTCAGAACCACCATACAAGGTCCCCCTTCCCATTCTCCACTCTCTGTAGCCTCTCCAGCCCCTTCTCACCCACAAAGCTCTGCTTCTCGCTGTTCCACAGAGGTGCTGCCCGTACACCATTGGCCACCATGGCAAAGAAGGCCTTCTTGATCTGAGGGGCAGAAGAGAACAGTTAAGGGCAAGTCCCAAGGGGTCTGCACCCTGCTTTCCTACTGTCCCTCAGTGGGCCATCCTCCACCTACCATCCCCTCTTCTGTCCCAAGCAGGGTCCTTCTGTGGGACCTTCTCCTGGTCCTCCTCCACACGAGCTTGCCTTCCTCATGTCATGGTACACAGCAGACTTGATCATTGTTGGGCACATTGGCCACATAAATAAGGCTGCTTGTGGCCAGAGGCACTGAAGAGACCCTCGCCAGGTATACCAACATGTGAAAAACTCTGGCTTTGTGTTTCCACTTGGAAGTCATGTGTAGATAGACAAATAAAGTTGTTGCTAATCTATGTACTAGAGGTATAATTATTTATATAACATTTGCATAGTTATATAATTCACGTACTTTTTTCTCTAAATAAAATTTCTATTGACTCATTTAGAGCCTCATCCTTAAAAGTACCATCTATACACGCTGGTTATATTTTTCTAACACACATTAAATAAATTTGAGCTATTGAAATAAACGTATTTGTTCATGAACCACTGGAATCTAATTGTGTACTGTGGAAGATAGATAACCCATGCTTTGGGAAGCACTGCTCTACATAATGGCAATAAGAATAGAATCATAGCTATTTTGTAGTTTAGCCCTAGTGGAAGAGCAGGTACCAAAGCTTGTCCTATTGTTCTGTTATCAAAAGAGTCCCCCACTCTTCGTTCAAGCAACTCTGCAACCTTTTACACATACTTCATACTTTGTAAAACATCCTTATACTGAGTTGTTCCAAGAATCCTCTGAACCATGTAGGATGATCCTAGTCTTTGAGATGAGAGAAGGAAAATGACAGACCTGAGGTCCTACAGATACCAAATGGCAGAGCTTTGATGACAAAGGAGTCCTCCAGAGAGCAGAAGCTCTCCCTCCTACCACTAGTCTCCACATGCTAAGAAGGACTCCTTGAAGGAGATTTGTAGAGGGACACAGCCTGGCAGGACATCTTAGAGGGTATGATTTGTGGCTACAGCACTGTGTGCAGGTGGACACTGAGTTCAGGTGGGGCAGCACTGTGTCCTCACCTCTAGTGTGGTGTCGAAGATGACCAGCTTGGAGCTGGTTGCCATGGCATCATAGCAGTTGTGCTCCTGCATGAAGCGCATGTAGACCTGGGCCCCGGGCTTCCGCAGCTCATCATCCCAGCCCAGCTTGGGTAATGGGGCCTGTGGGGATGGGGATGGGGCAGGCTTTTCTTCCACCAGGCCTTCTAGCTCACATCCCCAGGTCTCTGTGGCTGAGAACTCTGTGGCCAGCTCCCCATCATCTGTGCTGGAACCCACCACTGAGTCTGCATAGTCAGGAGGGAGGAAGTCCCCTGTTGGTGAAGTGCCAGCCAAGACAGCAACTTGGGCCAAGGGTGTGGCCTTGGGGAATGTGGCCTCCAGCCCAGTGGATTCAGCAGCTGGCCTGGCCTGAGGACCTGCTGGGAGGAGGAGGGGAAAAGACAGTAACTCCATTTTCCAAATCACTTTTTCATTTACTATTTCAGTTGATTGCACAGCAGCCTTGGGAAGCCTGGATGCTACAGCCCTATTTTGCAAGTTAGAAGCCACAGTCTCAGAGAATCATTTCAGACGGTGGTTCTATCCTGTCTTTCTGAGTTGGCTAAGCTGGGCCTCTGGCTGTGCAGTGCAGTTGTTGTCTCCCAGGTGGGGAGACTGAGGCCCCAAGATGAAGGCTGGGCCCAACTCTGCAATTTGGAGTGGGACAAGGCAGAGCCTGGCCCCAAGCTCTGGGACTTCCCAATGCCCTGGCCCTCACCCTCCCGAAACTGGCCTTGGCCCCACCTTCTTCTAGACCCGGGGGCTCCCCTTCCTCCACAGCCTCCTGTCTCATCCATCTCGAGGCCTTTGCCCTCCGTTTCCCATGGATTCTTTCTGAGCTGGTGATCACAGCTGGTGGTGGCCATGAGGTGCCGTCTTCTTGCTCTAAGAAGCTCATCTCTGGAAGGGGGAATGGGGCCTGTTTGGTTAATAGGGAGTAATACAATAGAATCAATTAAAATGTTATTAATAATAATAGTTCATATTTGCAGTGGGCTTTTCTCCAACATATTTCTCAAAACTCATAGCAGCCTCCTAAGGGAGGCATTGTTATAATCCCCATTTCATTAGGGAGGGACCAGACGTACAGAGAGGTTAAGCAATTTATGTCAGACTCCAGACCCTCCCTTCTTTCTGAAAAGAGGAAAAAGGAGGTGAAGGAAACACAACGGAAAAAGAGGAAGAAGAAATAGTGAGAAAGAAAACAAGAAAAGGAGAGAAAGACAAAGCTAGGCTGGGAGGGCTTCAGGTTTCAGAAAAGTGGGGGACAAAGGAAGTGGAAGAAGAGACTAGATTATAGGGAGAGGCAGTCTACCTACCTTGATGCTCAGGTCCCCCAAGGCTGCTCCAGGAGGGGCCCTGTGGGGATAAGAATGTCTAAAAAGGTGGGTGCCTTATGTTCCCAAACCACAGGGCCCCTCACCATCTCACTGCACCCCCCCCACATATCCATACATACACTCAGACACACGCAACAGAAACACACATATCCAGCCTCTCCAGACACACATGGAACTGCACACGCTCACAACATAGACACGCAGACACCCACATGCGCATGTTCACAGAGATACATGTGTATACACCCACATTAGCCCTGTGTGCTCTCAATCCTCCTGCCTCAGCTGCCCCAGCTCTGGCCCCCTGGGAATCCCCTTACCCTGTTCAGTGTATGCTCCAGCTCTGGCTCCATGTGGCCAGCCCCAGCCCAATGGAGAGCAAGTGTGCAACACTGTGGCTGGGCAGCACTATTCTGGGCCTGGCCCCTGGCGCCCTGCCTGGCCCAGATCGGTTTCTCTCTGATTGGGTGTCAGACAGCAGGAGGGAGGGGCTGCCCGCGCAGCTGCACCAGCCCAGCAGCCTGGGGGCTGGCGGCCTGAGAATCTTGATGCCTGGTCCTTGGTTGTATCCTGGGTCTCTGAGGATAAGCTAGAAGGGTCCTGTGGTGGAAGAAGGTGGCTTTGAGCATCGTGAGGACATGAGATCCAGGAGGAGTTGGGCTGTCAGAGTCCCAGGCTTCCTACTCCAAGTGGCCTCTCTCATCTTTGTTGGATGCCAAAGGAAGGAAAATGAAGGACAGTGGAGATTTCAGCTTAACTTGCTTCCTTGTTCAAATTTCAGCAGAAGGTGGTGCTGGAATTAGAAAGGACAAGTTGCAGCCAGCTTAGAGGCTGGAAAAAGACAAGTAGTTTGTCGGTAGTCCTGGAAAGCAGCCAGCGTATGTGCAGATGCCTACATTTGAGTCCCAGGAGCTCGTCCCTCTCAGGTGAAGGTGGTGGAGTGGGTAGTTATAGCAGACAGGGTCCACGAGTATCACCTTGAAAGTGTGGGGATTGCTGAGGGCCTGCACTTGTTCGCAGGGGGAGAGACATCTGTTTCTACCTATGCTTGGGAGATATGTCTGGGTGCGTAGGAGCTCTAGCCTCCCACCCCTCCGTGTATGCCATGCCTACCTTCCCTGGTGCCAATGGGATCCCAGCCTGGCTCTGGTGGCTGCCCACCCCCTTCCTTGGCATTCCTGGAGCCTGAGTCAATGTCCAAATCAGGAATGCTGCCCCAGCTGCCCCAGCTGCCCCACTCTGAGCTTCCCTCCCCTTCATGCAGGCTCTTTCATCCCAGCCCCTGACCCTGGAGTGGACACTCAATAATGAACAGCTGGATTTCTTGCAGAGTTTATTGAACATATTTCCCATTCACCCCTAAAGTGCCTACACTGCCTATGGGGGGAGCGGAGGAGGGACAGTGCCCCAGTAAAGGCTGCACCTGTGGTCCCCAGCCTTTCTCCAGTATATCCTACTCAAAGACAGTGGGAGCTGGCTTACTGGTCAGAATAAGAGAGTTCCCTTCACAGCCAAGCATATTTTTTCATTTGGCCTCAAGATAGTCACAACCAGTTTGACAGAGTGGAGAATAGGAAGAACACCAAGTTCAGAGCATGCAAGCATAAAAATAAGGTTTATGTGAGACCATTGGCTGTGGTTGCTCACACATGGAACCAATCGGAAGACTTCTATGGTTTTGAGCATGCTGTATTGGCAAAGAAGCCATAAACTGGATCAGCAAAGCCCGGTTTGACACGCTTCTCTGCTGACATTATGCCCAGCCCCCGAAAATCTGCATCAATGGGAAGAGGGTTGCTAAAGCTATCAGGTCTGCAAGAAGCATGTGCCACCCAGTGAGGCCACAGAGGATACTGAAGGAATAACTTCCCGGGAGACAAAGTCAGAGTCCACATAGAAGGGGGTATCTTCCCAGAGAGCAGAACAAAGTACAGCCAGATGTGCTGACCAAGAACTTACTCCATTGCTAGGACAGGGCTTAGCCACTCCTGCCCATCTGGATTTAGTCATTGCTAAAATCCAGTGACTGCTGGGTGTTTGCTATTCTGGTGCAAGTGGATTTTTTTTTTTTTTTGCAGTTTTTGGCCAGGGCTGGATTTGAACCTGCCACCTCTGGCATATGGGGCCAGCACCCTACTCCTTTGAGCCACAGGCACAGCCCGTGACTGGATGTTTTAATTGAGTCTATCCTGTTCATCCTCCACTGCTGTGTATGTGGTGTGGAAGGGGCAGATGACCTGATGTTTAGCTTATGGGTCACCAGGTTCCTTTGCAGATAGTATGGCATGTGACTAAGTTTGGCTGATAAGATTTGAGCAGACAGGTTACATGCAAGTTATAAGGGTGCCCTTAGAAGGAAGAGGAACCCTTTTTTATAGGCTAAAATTATGATAAGATGATGGGAACTACAGCAGCCATTTGAACCCAACAGTGGGAGAGACAGTTTGAAAATGATAGCGCCTCCTCCACCCTGTCCTGGTCTGGTTACTTCTGGACTGTTATATTAGAAATAAATAAATTTGAGTCTTGTTTAAGTCACTGACAAATTGACCTTTGTTACAGCAGCCACGCTTCTCTCTAATGAATACATCTACACTGAATGATTGGAAGGATTGGGGCAGGATTGGGAATTGCACATGTGGGCAACAGCCCTTCATGTTTGCACTTACTGTCTACCAAACACTGTGCACAACATATACACACAATGACCCACATAATCCCTTGCATCTCTCTTAGGTAAAGACTTTTATTATTACAGATTTGCAGATGAGAAAATGGAAACATAAGTAGATTAGGTAACTTGATCAAAACCTCAAAACTAGTGAGATGGAGCCAAAAATAAAACCCAGGGTTTCTGGACTCCGGTGCTCATATTCTTAAGTGTTCTGGAAAGCACAGGCTTGGCATGTAATATAGACTCAGTAAGTGGTTACTATTATTATTACCTTGCCACCTGCTTCCGGTGCCCCTAGACCTTCAACAATGAGGCTCTGCAGGCAAGCAGGCAGGCATGGGGGAGTTTCGACTCCTCAGCAGCCATTGCAAGATTGGAGTGGAGGAGGATTGCAGCTGGGGCAGACACCAGTACTGCCCAACACTGGAACCATAGTGAGTTCCAGTTCTGCCCTGCTTTGCACCTGCTCTGTACCTGCATCTGCCCTTTGCCTCTCAGAACCCCCACCTCTGCTCTTGCTGCCAGCTCAGCCCTTACCCATGGTCTTGGCAAGCTGAATGAGCATAAGGTTCTGGCTTTAGCTGGGTAATACATACTCCTTGGGTGATTGATTTTAGCCTCTGGACATGGTATCATATTTCTTGAAACCCTACTTCTTGGCTCACTTGCAGACTGGGTATATAATAAGGACCCTACAGTCTAACCCTAGGGTGAATTTGGCTGCTATCTCTGGAGAGCTGATTTGTCTAGGACATGGGGCTGGGGATCCTGTGTAAGTGTTATTTTTATATCAGGGGGAGAAAAACAACTTGAGGAGGCCAAGAAAGTAGCCTGGATAAGACTCATTACTGATAAATCACAAATGGGGTCCCCTATGTCCCAGCAGTTGGGAAGCTGGAACAGCAGCCTCTGTTTCAGTCACTCAGATACAACAGCTCCATCTTGTCTCTATGGCTGGACAAAGCAGTATCTGTGCCAATGTCCCAAAGACCTGAACTGAACCTGCACCTTGTTTATGCAACTTAATCTGTCCCACAGGCCCCATTATGAGCCTTTTCCTGAGAGCTGTTAGGCGTTATAATACACAAATGCTGCTTTTGTCTACCCAATATCTATTTACTTCTCTTTTGTCAGACCTTTAGGTTTTCCTGCAGAGAACCAAAATTCCTACGATCTCACAACACAGTGATTTTTGGAGAAGTTCAACTGTGGGTTCCAGGATTCAGATTCAGCCAATGAACACACTAAATGCCTCTGTTCACAGTAAGGGTGGCATTGACAGAATTAGCCCAATAGGACTTTTGCTGAAGTTAAAAGGAACTCTTTTCCACTGGATTTGGAGCTTTGAAGATGTAAATGTGGAGATTCTGGAGGCTACTAGGCAGAGTGGGGCTGTCTGAAGATGAAGCCAAAACAGAGGGCAAAAGAACCATAGTACAATGACCAAGACCAGGTCCTCCTGACATTCACTGCATGTCTAGACAAACTGTACCTGAAGGCCCACCACTGGGTTTTTCAGTTATATGGATCAATAGAATTTTTTATTAGTAGTATTTTATATTAAAGAATGCCGTTTGAATTGGGTCTTCTGTCACTTACAGCTGAAAGAGTTCTACATTAATACCTGAGTCAATGAAGAAACAGAAGATCTAGATACATTTAAAGGCTTTAGGGGAGGGATATTCAGTCATTGCATTTTCCCCAAGAAATAGTATATACTTGAAAAAGTAATTAGAGTAAATGGAAAGGATGTCAATGGGAGTAAAAAATACATGAAGAAAACAATAAAAGAAAGATTAGAAAGTTTACTGAAAGAAGACTTCCTAAACAAGGCAAGTTTGGATATAGAAATAATCATGGCTACAGAAACTATTTACTGGGTTGTAACTATGTTCTGGACACCAGATTAAGTAGTTTACATATATGGTGGGAAATATTTTGAATATTTTGAACCACGTCAAGGAGAGGTATTTCCTTCTATCCTGTTGCCCTTTTCTCATCCAATGAGGCTCTGCAGGCAAGCAGGCAGGCATGGGGCAGTTTCTTAGTTTATTGCCTTAAGGAAGAAATGATATAGCACAAAGAGGAGCATCTTCTGGCTGTTGAGTTTCAAGAGTGAGGTCTTCTGGGAGGAAAGGAAATACATTTTGATTAAATAAAAAGATTTGAGAGTTTTGGCAGGCTAGGTTATTCAGAAAGTATCTTCCCCTAAAAGCAACTTGAAACACTGAAGAAAGGGTAAAGTACATTTTAAAAATCTGGAAAAGTTAAGATAGTAAGGACTTTTTAGGCCCAAGTGAAGGAAAAATGGGAACACAGTGAAGTTAGTTAGAAAAGAAGTGGCTTTTGCTCTAGGGTATCTGCCAATTCTAGCAAGAGCCACTAGGTTCATAGGAGTCCAGAACCCACAGAAATTGGGAGTATGATAGGAGACTCTGTTTATAAAAAAACTTGGATCTCAGAGTATCACATCTTCTGAGTAAGTGTAATCCAGAGCAAACTACCTTTTACATACATTTATTATCAAGGTATGCCTCATCTGAACATCTGGAGAGTATGAAACCTTGAACTTGGTTTAAGATGGTACTAAATCAGCAATGAGTTCAAGTGCCTGGCAGAAGTAAACATAAATGTTCTATGGAGAAATTTATCTTCTTTCAAGGCCATAAATTCTTTTTTTTGTGTGGAGACA